AAGGTATTTTATTCTTTTTGTTACGATTGTGAATGGTATTGTATTCTTGAGTTCTTTTTCTGTTGGATCATTACTGGAGTATAGCAATGCTACTGATTTATGCAAATTGATTTTATACCCTGCAACTTTGCTGTAGTTGTTGATTACTTCTAACAGTTTTCCAATGGATTCTTTGGGGTTTTCTATATATAAGATCATGTCGTCTGCAAACAGCGAGAGTTTCACTTCTTCCCTCCCTATTTGGATTCCTTTTATTCCTTTTTCTTGCCTGATTGCTCTGGCCAGGACCTCCAGTACTATGTTAAATAAGAGTGGTGATAGAGGGCATCCTTGTCTCGTTCCTGTTTTCAGGGGGATGGGGTTCAGTTTTTGCCCATTGAGTATGATGCTGGCTATGGGTTTGTCGTATATGGCCTTTATTATGTTGAGGTAGTTTCCTTCTATGCCCATTTTGTTCAGAGTTTTTATCATAAATGGCTGTTGGATCTTGTCAAATGCCTTCTCTGCATCTATTGAGATGATCATGTGGTTTTTATTCCTCAGTTTGTTGATGTGGTGTATCACGTTGATTGATTTGCAGGTGTTGAACCATCCCTGTGTCCCTGGTATGAATCCCACCTGATCCTGATGTATGATTCTTTTGATGAATTGCTGAATTCTGGTTGCCAAAATTTTGTTTAGAACTTTTGCGTCTATGTTCATCAGTGATATTGGCCTGTAGTTCTCTTTTTTCGTGGTGTCCTTGTCAGGTTTTGGTATCAGCGTGATGTTGGCCTCATAGAATGTGTTAGGAAGTGTTCCATCTTCCCTAATTTTTTGGAATAGCTTGAAAAGGATAGGTATTAAATCCTCTCTGAAAGTTTGGTAGAATTCCCCAGGAAAGCCATCTGGTCCTGGGGTTTTATTCTTTGGGATGTTTTTGATTGCTGTTTCAATCTCTTTCCTTGTGATTGGTCTGTTCAAATTGTCTGCCTCTTCTTGAGTGAGCTTTGGGAGACTGTAGGAGTCCAAGAATTTATCCATTTCCTCTAGGTTATCCATTCTGTTGGCATATAGTTTTTTGTAGTATTCTCTTATAATCTGTTGTATTTCTGCAGAGTCTGTTGTTATTTCTCCTTGCTCATTTCTGATTTTGTTTATTTGAGCTTTCTCCCTTTTTTTCTTTGTAAGTCTGGCTAGTGGTTTGTCAATTTTATTTATCTTCTCAAAAAACCAGCTCTTTGTCTCATTGATCCTTTCTACTGCCTTTTTTGTTTCAATAGTATTTATTTCTGCTCTGATTTTTATTATTTCTCTCCTTCTGCTGACTTTGGGCTTCATTTGTTCTTTTTTCTCTAGTTCAGTTAAGTGTGCTTTAAGGTTGCTTATTTGGGATTTTTCTTGTTTGTTAAGATGTGCCTGTATTGTGATGAATTTTCCTCTTAATACAGCTTTTGCAGTATCCCATATGAGTTGGTATGGCATGCTATCATTTTCATTTATTTCCAGGTATTTTTTTATTTCTTCTTTAATTTCTTCAATGATCCATTGCTTGTTCAGTAGTGTGTTGTTTAGTCTCCACATCTTTGTGCCTTTCTCAGCTTTTTTCTTGTAGTTAATTTCTAGCCTTATAGCACTATGATCTGAGAAGATGCTTGTTATTATTTCAATTTTTTTAAATTTGTAGAGGCTTGCCTTGTTTCCCAGCATATGGTCTATCCTAGAGAATGTTCCATGTGCACTTGAGAAGAATGTGTATTCAGCTCTTTCAGGGTGAAGTGATCTATATATGTCTATTAAGTCCAATTGTTTTAGTTTTTCATTCAGCTCCACTATTTCCTTGTTGATTTTCTGTCTGGATGATGTGTCCATTGATGTGAGTGGGGTGTTGAGGTCCCCTACTATTATTGTGTTGTTTTTAACATCTTCCTTTAGGTCTGTTAATAGTTGCTTTATGAATCTTGGTGCTCCTGTGTTGGATGCATAGATATTTATGAGCGTTATTTCTTCCTGATGAAGTGTCCCTTTGATCATTATATATTGTCCCTCTGTGTCTCTCTTTACCTGTCTTATTTTGAAATCCACTTGGTCTGATATGAGAATTGCAACACCTGCCTTTTTTTCCTTGCTATTTGCTTGAAGTATTGTCCTCCACCCCTTCACCCTGAGTCTGTGTTTGTCCTTGGGGCTGAGGTGTGTTTCCTGGAGGCAACAAATTGTTGGATCGTGTTCTTTAATCCATTTTGCCACTCTGTGTCTTTTTATTGGAGAGTTCAATCCATTCACATTGAGAGTGATTATTGATGCATGCGGGCTTAATGCTGTTAATCTGTCGCTCATTATCTTGTTTTCCTGCATTTCTTTTCCTGTTTGCTTTAGACTACCCATTTAATACTGCAATTTCTTATGCTGGGTTTCTTAGATTTTTCCTTATTTATGATTTGTGACTCTGTTCTGTACTTTATTTTAGTGTCTACCTTGAAGTTTGTATTTAGAATCTCGTGTATAATATAGTCTATTCTCTGGTGGTCTCTTACTTACTTGACCAATACTGATTTGGACCCTTGGTTCTTACCCTCCTAAATAATTATTTTCATTTTTTTATTCCAACTCGTCTTATTAATTGGTAGTTAGAGTGCTAAGATCATCCTTGTTTTGGTAGTTTCCTTACCTTTACCCTAATGCTATAATTGAATATTTGCTATCCTGTTCTGGTTCTATCCATCGGTCTCCCTAGTCTGTGGATTGTGTCCCCTTTCTCCCTTTTTTCTTTTTTCAGGTATGAGAGCCTTCTTGAGGATTTCTTGTAATGGAGGGCTTTTAGTTACAAATTCCCTTAACTTTTGTTTGTCTGGAAAAGATTTAATTTCTCCCTCATATCTGAAGGAAATTCTTGCTGGATAGAGTATTCTTGGCTGAAGATTTTTATCCTTTAAAGCTTTGAATATGTCACTCCATTCTCTCCTAGCTTGTAGGGTTTCTGTAGAGAAATCCGCTGACAGTCTGATAGGGGCTCCTTTATAGGTTATTCTCTTTTTTTTTCTTACTTCCCTGAGTATTCTCTCCTTATCATTCCTATTTGCCAACTTTACTACTGTGTGCCGTGGGGTAGCTCTTTTTACATTGACAAATCTAGGAGATCTAAAACCCTCCTCTACACACATTTCTCCGTCAATCCCTAGATTTGGGAAGTTCTCTTCAATAATTTCGTTAAGCACACTTTCTGCTCCATTTTCCTTTTCCATATTCTTGGGAATTCCTATGATCCTTATATTCTTACTCCTCATTGAATCCATTATCTCTTGGAGATTTTCCTCATTTTTTTAAATTCTTAGTTCTCTTTCTTTCTGTGTCTGGCGCCATTCAGCCTGTCTATCTTCGATTATGCTAATTTTCTCCTCTATGTTGTGTACAGAGGCATTCAGGGAATCCGTATTCTGTTTTATCTGGTCCATTGTGTTTTTCATCTCAAGTAATTCTGTTTGATTCTTCTTTATGATTTCAATCTCTTTTGTGAAGTAACTCCAGAACTCGGCTTGTTTCTCTATCTTTGTCTCTACCTCATTGAGTTTTTTGATTATAGCTGCTCTGAACTCATTATCACTTAGTTTACCTAATTCCAAGTCCTCAGGACCTAATTCTATGTTTTTATTGTTTTCCTTCTGGTCTGGGGCTTTTATAAATTGCTGGATGGTAGAGGAGCGTTTTTTTCTCATGGTGGTAGAATTCAGTTGCAGTTACAGCCTGTCGCCACTAGATGGGGGTCAAGAGCTGCGTGTTATGAGCTCTCCGCCTTGGGGCAAGATGGCTGCGCCCCCTGGCTTTGCTGGGGGGGAGGGGCTGTTACTCACAGGCCAGTCTGGGTTCAGATCAGTTCTGCTCTCTGGTCTCCCAAGGCCCTTCATTTATGGGGTCCCCGGGGACGGAAGCTTTCCCCCTGTCAGCGGGTCTCCACTGAATCAGCGGCAGGAGTCCTGGATGATCCCCCGGTTGCGCGGCCCCTCCCCCGCTCCTTCCCGACCCGCACAGCAGCGATAGCAGACTCTAGGGGCGGGAGCGATGTTCTCTCCTACCGTTCCAGCGCCTCCGAGGATGTAAGCAAGGTTTATGATCTCTGCCTTCTTGGTACTGTAGGTCTCTAAGGAGCTGGCATTATGTTTATTCTCTGTAATTCAGTTCTTCCAATCTTTTGTTGTATTTTAGAGGGGAGAGAATCCCGGGTCAGCTCACCCCACCATTTTGCCTATAATATTTGTTTTGAAGTGCACACTTGTTCCAACGTGATCACACAATTTGAGCATAATGTGAACTTTACATTTACATTTGCTTATGCACAATTTCGTCTGCAAAAAGTACTAGGTGAAGGCAGAAAATAGTTTCTACAAGCTGCCTTGATTCACCATGTGTATAGTGTACTGCGCCAGTCCACATCTGGTGTTACAGCTTTTCATCCAAGTTCAGATAATTGTCCTTCCAGTACTGCACAATAATTTATAACTTGCAGCCTATTCATTGCCCACTTTCACAAGCAAGCTTCGTGTCTTTTTCAAGATAAAGAGCTGTATTTCTCTTAGTATATATTTCTTAATCATTTAACTTTGTAAAACTGGACTGATGTTTTTATTGAGCTTCTATGTTTTTAATGTATCATCGACAATGTTTTTGCATGCTGTGCACCTAATTCCATTTTCCCCACATGTCTTTCAAGTTTTTTTGCATGATTTCTATAGTGAGGTGATTTTTCAAGAAGACATATACAGAACTGGATGTAATTTGTCAGGGGTGTTTAATTGTTTTGATATGTATTAGCTTATATACAGCTTACATTCAGTAAAGCATGATAACAAATGTTCTGGCTGTATCATTAATTTCGTTTTGATTCTATTCAGATAAGTTTTCTTTGAAACGTAGTATAGTGATTCTCAAAGTAAAATGGAAATCTTGGTAATGTATATTATATATTTACCTATAATTTATTGTCTCCTTAACTATTTATCTTTGGCTTATATAAAATTACACAGAAAACAAAGCCTACACATGATCGAATAAAGAAAACTGGTAAAATGGAGAAGAAAAAAGACAGAGGAAAACCTGAGAATTCAGAAGAGTAAGACATAAAAATACGTGTCAATATTTTTTTTCCTTTTTCCTTTATATTTTCACTTTATGCAAACAATTTGAGGTCATATAAAAATAACAGGTTTCTAAAAGAGATAACACTAGCTAATATATAGTTTTATAAACAGACTAGGATATGATTGTGGGAGAAAGCTGAGAAGGGAAGAACAAAGAACTTTGAATTAGAGGAAGAGAATGAACCACAAGATATTCAGGAATAGGTAAACAGAATCACATCTGTAAATAGTTTTAGGGAAAAAAGGATTTACATGGTTTCCTTGATGGTCTAGCTAATGATTTGTAATGTTTATGTTAACTTCTTAGACTGGGTGGTTCTCTTTTTACTTTACTTCTTGATTGTACTTATTTTATAAAAACAATTATCTATGTTTATATCTGGTGGATTATCATACAGTGGCCTTATTAAGTGAATATTTTCTTTAGTAATATAATTTTTATATTTTGAATTTGCTTGGTCAAATCCTAATGTAAATATATAATTTAAAAAAGAAACTATGATTTCAATTTTTATAGACTTCCACAAATTCTGAAAAGAAATTCACTGGACAAGTGGTCTTGACCTTTGACTTAGAGAAGAAAAGATGTCCAGAATAGAAAAAAATACTAATGTACTTTGAAAATTCTTGCTCCAGCTCATCTTTCCATATTTTAATAATATCAATGAGAAGTTAACTTGAGAAATGTTATTCAGTTATCTATCATTTAACCTATATGGATTTTATGGCTTTAAAAAATTATGAATTTCTTTTGAAAAATTTTATTTCTTTAAAATGGTTTTAGTACTCCTCAAGAAAGAAAAGTAGTCATGTAATTTAAAGTATCATGATATATTTTAAAACAATTTTAATTACAGGGACAAGCCTGTAGTTCAAGAGCTTAAAACAAAAGAAGAGTTGCTTCAAGTTCAGGTAACATACACTCTCTGTGCATCTAAATTTGATTAATAAGTGCTCTGGGGAATTATATGTATAGATAATATTAGTGTGTATGTGACTATAGGGTGGGTGTGTGTGTGTGTACTAAAGTTCTTCCTAAGATATTTCTTTTTTGTTGGTTGACTTTTCTCAGCAAATTTCAGAAAATAAAATGGTAAATCCAGGCATATTTTCTGTCAAGGTTATCAAAATGACCATCGTTTACTCAACTACAGGCAATATCATGGAGAAAACAACATCACATTGGCAGTCAGAACAGGGACTTACTAGTTATGTGACATTGGCCAAGTCACTTTAACCTGCGTGAACTTCCTATTTTCTGTCACTAAAATGGGTAAAATAATAGCTGCCGTATCTATCTCAAAAAGATGTAAGAGGTATAAAAAGCAAGTAAGAAAAAGTTCTTCAGAAATTGTAAACTGTAGAGCCCACTCTTTTTTATGTGATCCAATGAAAGGAATACAAGTGACCCCTTTATTTCATCTTGGCTTTGGAATGCTTTCTTTTGCTACAAGTTAACTTCTTATTAACCATCAGAGTTCATCACCCATTTCAGTGAGCGGCTGGAGTTGTGTCCTACAAGTATGCACCTGAATGATTCAAGAATCCAATAATATAAATTTGGGAAGGAAATGAGAGTACCACTGGAGATACTGAATATAAAATGTACAGCTTTATGGTATTAGTTTTCTATTCCTGGGCAACAAGTTTCCACAAATTTGGCAGCTTTAAACAATTTATGTTGTTTCACAGTTTGAGTGGGTTGGGGGTCTGAACATGGCTTAACTGTGTCCTATGCTCAAGGTCTCACCAAGCTGCAGTCAAGGCGTTGGCTGGGCTTTATTCCCGTTCTGTAACTTGGAGTCCTCTTCCAAGCATGAGTGGATGTGGCAAACTTCAGTTCCTCTCAGCCATATGGTCTTCTCTGTATAATGCAACATGATCGTGGGATTGACATCTCCTCACTTTAGATAAATACTGCAATTTAATAAAAGGAGTGGCATCTCATCACTTTGCTCTATTTTATTGGCTAGAAGCAAGTCACAGGTCCCACCCACACTCAAAGGGAGTAGATTATATCTCCCAGGGATGAGATCATGGAGGCCATCAATTCTGCCTACCACACTTACCAGCTTATTTTATATAAAACAGCATTTTGTATATTTTAAAATTTTCTTGTACCATTATATTATTAATGTTATGTCTTTAAGCTAGTGTTTTAGTTTATTTGGGCTGTATCTTAGTCCATTCAGATTCTTCTGATAAAATATCAGGGACTGGGTAGCTTATACAGAACAGAAATTTATTTCTCATAGTTCTGGGGGCTTGAAGTTCAAAATCAGGGTGCCAGCACGATGGGGTGAGGGCCTCTTCTGTGTTATAGACTTCTTGTTGTATTCTCACATGGCATAGAAGGCAAAGGAGCTCTCTGGAGTCTTTTTTTATAAGAGCACTAATCCCATTCATAGGGGTACCACCCTCATGAACTAATCACCTCCCAAAGGCCCCACCTCCAAACACCGTTACATTGGGGATGAGGTTTCAATATAAGTTTCTGAGGGACACAAACCTTTAGTTTGTAGCAGCTAGTATCATTTCAAATTATTTTTTCTGAATTTAAAGTCAAAATTTTCTTGTAGGGATAATTTTTTCTGGAGAAGATCAATGGATTTAATGAGAATTTTAAAGGAATTTATCTCCCTCTTTCAAAACTCTGTTATGAACCATCACTGATTTAGGCCATTTTACAGAGATCAATAGAAGCTAAAAAGTGACTTGCTTAGGGTTAGAGAACAAACTGGTAGCGAAATCTGAGCTGCAAACATGGCTTTCTGAATCCTGCTCAGCATTTGCAATTAGTGAAAATATGTTCAGTTTTGCTTCCTCAGGCAGGCATGGATAATAGAATCAGTTGGAATCATTATCTATCTGTTCAAGTAATTATATGCTTATAAAATGTTTTACTAAGTCATAAAAACTTTTAGTTTTTGAAAATGACTAGTTTTTAAAAATTAGCTGTTTAGTTTTTAGAGGATTGTTATTCCGGTAATTATTCTAACATTCATTGAAAGTATGTAGATAAAATGATCAGTTTGATCCCAAGCCTGCCCTTATGTGGTGTAGATTGTTCCTTGAACAAGAGTGGCTAAGGAAAAGCAGATGTTGAAGTCTAGCCCATGGTTTACTTGGCAGCTGTTCACCCTGGCATATGGCTGCATTTGCCTAAATGAAGGGTTCTTTTTCTTATTCATCAAAGACACTGTATGAACTAGCAGTCAGTAGCCAGAATTGTACTTAACAAAATCATGCTGAGGTAAAATGATATAAAGTATTTTTTTATTCTATTAAATTTGATTTTCAGATTATTAGAAAAATAGAGTGCATTTACTCTAGGCAAATATCTACTAAGTGGGTGATTGGCAGCTTAATCATATGGATATAAGAAAGGACAAATGTATTTTTTGTAACCTAACATTATAGAAAATGAAAATATTTTACATATTTGAATGCTTTGTGAGTCAAATCATCTACACCATATTTTTGTACGTTGGTGGTAATTACGGGTTATTCCATTTTTAGAAGGGGAAACTCAGAGATGTTAAATAACTTGACCAGATTTGCAGATGCACTCTGGTGGGACTGGATAGCCCAAGAATCATCTCTCTTTGTAGGTGGGGCTAAAATGACTAAAAGCATAAATTCAAATGTGATCTCTCCATTGACTGTTTCTTCGCGAGGAACGTCACCTTTCTAAATTTACAGAAACTTAGTTTCTTTTATGCATAATGCCAAGAACTCTGTCTTTCTGTTAAAACTACGTATTACTTACTCCGAGATATGAATACCTTAACACAAATATAAACGGTAATTGTAATTACATCCTATAGGTACTTGAATAAATTGAATAAACTTGTTGCATGCAACATATATAATGTAATATAAGAGGTACAGGATCGATAAGGAAATATTGAATTTGTTTTTTTCTGAGTTTAAAGTCTTTAAAGAATTTTTTTCTTTGACATGTAACATTATATTAGTTTGGAAGCTGGAATATATTATGTTAGCACATACTGGAGACATCATGTCCCCGACTAATTCCAACATAATAAATGCACATATAAAAGGGAACTATGATGTAGTAATTGAGAATATGGAGTTAGAAAACAGGAAGGATTTCTATTTAGAGATAATATGCGGAAAGACAAGGACTTGAGGGTACAAAGGCTATTTAGAGAAATTCAAATGCTTGAGTATGATAGGAGTTTTGGATTAAAGAGAGGAGTAGTAGGAGGCCTGATAGGGATCTTTTGTGGATGGCATCAGTAGTTTGGATTTTGAATAAGATATGAGGACTTACTGAAGAATATTAAGAATGATCCACTTGGTGTTTTTTATTAAGATCATTCTGCGAAGAATGAACGATGAATTTTGGGGTAGAGATTGAATTTTGCAATCAGGGAGAACAATTAGAGAGTTTTTGCAATAATTTAACTCAGTGATAATCAAACTAGTTAATTATAAATTCTATGAATTTATTAAGGTAGAATTGTAAACAGTGTTTCTTGTGATCTAAATTTTACTGTTGCCAAGTGGGAAGACAATTTTATAAAAATATTGATCCATTCAAATTAATATAATAAATGTAATGCATTTCTAATCAGAACTCAAAAAGGACTTTAAAAAATTTATTGAGGTCATATTAATTTATAACATTCTGAAATTTCAGTTGTACATTATTATTTGTGGGTCACCATATATATGTGCCCCTTTACCCTCCATGGCCACCCCAACACCTTTCCCTCTGGTAACCACTAATCTGTTCTTTTTGTCCGTGTGTTAATCTTCCATATATGAGTGAAATCATGTGGTGTTTGTCTTTCTCTGTCTGGCTTATTTTGCTTAACATACTACCCGTGAAGTCCATCTACGTTGTTGCAACTGGGATGATTTTATCTTTTTTATGGCTGAGTAGTATTCTATTATATATATATACTACTTGGATTGCTTCCATGTCTTGGCTATTGTGAATAATTCTGCAATGAATGTAGGAGTGCATAAGTCTCTTTGAATTGTTGATTTCAAGTTCTTTGGATAAATAGGCAGTAGTGGGATAGCTAGGTCATATGGTATTTATATCTTTAATTTTTTGAGAAATTTCCATACTGTTTTCCTTAGTGACTGCACCAGTTTGCATTCCCACCAGCAGTGTATGAGGGTTCCCTTTTCTCCACATCGTCTCCAACATTTGTTATTTTTTGTCTTAGTAATTATAGCCGTTCTAGCAGGTGTAAGGTGATATCTCATTGTAGTTTTGATTTGCATTTCCCCAATAATTAGTGGTGTTGAACATCTTTTCATGTGCCTGTTGGCCATCTGCGTATCTTCTTTGGAAAAATGTCTGTTCGTATCCTCTGCCCATTTCTTAACTGGGTTGTTAGTTTTGTTGTTGTTGAGTTGTGTGAGTTCTTTATATATCTTGGAGATTAACTCCTTGTCAAATATATAATTTGAAAATATTTTCTCCCAGTTGGTGGGTTGTCTTTTCATTTTGTTCATGGTTCCCTTTGCCTTGCAGAAGCTCTTTAGTCTGATGTAGTCCCATTTATTCATTGTTTATTTTGTTCCCCTTGCCTGAGTAGACATGGTATTCAAAAAGATGCTTCTAAGACTGATATCAAAGAGTGTACTGCCTATATTTTTCTTCTAGGAGTTTTATGGTTTCACATCTTTACCTTCATGTCTTTAATCCATTTTGAGTTAATTTTTATGTATGGTGTAAGATAATGGTCTACTTAAATTATTTTGCATGTGGCTGTCCAGTTTTCCCAAAACCGTTTATTGAAGAGGCTTTCCTTTCTCCGTTGTATGTTCTTGGCGCCTTTGTCGAAGATTACCTGCCTGTAGATGTGTGGTTTTGTTTCTGGGCTTTCACTTCTGTTTTTGTGCTGGTACCATGCTGTTTTGATTACTAT